TACAGTGTTGTTTCCTCAGTGTGTTTCTGGCCTGAGGAACAGCCCTAGAAGAACTAAGTGAGTTCTGTGGGAGGAAGAAAGTGGTACTGCTGTCACTGTGTCCTGTATGCCCCACATTGCTTGCTTTTGGGAAAACCACATAGGGGTTTGACTTTCTGTTTAACTCAAAATCTAGTCACCCTTCAAATGAAAAAACTAGGACTTTTGTCTGTGTATGATGCATTTGATATCTAATTTACTAATATGTTACTGTTCTGTTTAAATTTCTGAATCAGACATCTGAGATGTCCATTATTCAGAACTTCAAGGAAGGCAAATTTAAAGTGTTTATTTTCACATCTTTTTTATGTTGTTTTTTTCTCCTTCCATGTTTGTTCATTTTGACTTTGGTTCTTTTTTTTTTTTTTAACAGTTTACTTTCAATTTTATTTTATATTGGTTTTAGGTATACTGCTTAGTAGTTAGTCATACACTTTTACATAATTTATTTAAGTACAGTGGTGTGTGTGTGTGTGTTTTAATTGGTTTTTATAAAATGCCAAACAATTACTCTCCATAAGTTGTCTCTTAGAATGCAGGTCTCTCTGTGGTAGCACTGGTATTTGTGTGCTGCATTCATTCACAATACGCCATTAGAGGTAGCACATAAGAAGAGACACTTAGGCGGGTATGGTTACGATTCCATTTCTGCATGGACAGTAGCTATTGTGATCTTGGATAATTTCACTTGATCTTCATGGACCTTTATTTTCTTACTAAAAACATTGTGGGTCACGTTATCTTTTACAGTTCTGACAGTCTGGAATTCTGCCCATTAGTGTCTTTATTTAAGTTCTCCACATGGCCAGTTCTTTTACATTTACATTTTAAGTAGATTCTTTTCTGAAACTGTGGTAGGATACCCTTTAATTTCATCAGTAACTGATCTCAGTCTCATTGTGGATTGAGTATGTGATGATAAAAATAAAGCTTACCTTAGGTGGCTCAGTCCTATCAGTGATTTCTGGATGCCTGTTAACTTCATCACGACTGATGGTATTTTGTGACCTAAATGTCCTACTTTTTTTCTGACTTTGTCATTAATGTGTATATCCATTCTTGCTCTGGGCTTTTGTAACACTCTTACCCAGTGATGGCCTAAATATTCTGTCCCTACGTAACTAGTAGCTTGAGTCAGAGAGAGGCAGCTTATTTATCATTCTGGTTACTGTGACTGTAAGAATGCGTTTATGTAGAATTTGTTTTTAAATTACATTCTGATTCATTATGACCTCCTTTCATCATGCCAGCAGATTTTCTCCGTTACTTAGATTTGTAATCTTTGATTCTGCCTCTAGACAATATTAACTACACAGTAGATCTGATTTAAATCATTAGTCAGAAAAACTAGTATATACCTTCTATAAACAAAATATATTGAAGTAACAGATAAAAAACAATTTTTAATAGAAAAAAAAGAATACCTGGTATTATATAAAGTTTATAACTGATTTATCTTTTTTAAAAGATTAACTTTACAGCTACATGAGAAAATTAAAAACTTCCTTGTTTATCGGAGTGAAATGAAGCACTTTCTTAGACTTTTGCTTATTCTATTTTTTTTAACTACATGTAATTCTTCGTAAGTAAACTGGGTGTTTTAAAGTTAACCATCAGCTCTAAATGGGAAATTAAACAAAGCAAAAATGAAATGTTTAGCTTCATCGACATCAAAATCACTAAGTGTATTTATTAAGTCTCCTATGTGTAAGGGACCCAGGGCCGAGCGGGCAGAGAGAAGTGCACACTGCTGCCTGCCTGTGAGGGATGTCATATTGGGCTGGACAGCTCTCCGTCTTCACCCTGGAGATTGTCCTTAACTGCAGCGGAAGGCTAAGTTTTTCTCCCAACTTACACTACT